ATGCATGTTCTGAGAAAGCAAATGCTATCAATAAAATATAAAAGAATATAAAAGAATTTATACGAGATTACAAGTCCTCCCCTCAAACCTGAAAAAAGCCCATATATTTTCATCTTACTGATCTCAGAATTTCCTACTGTTGTAAATTTCCTTTTGGTGTTTCAGATCCCCATCTCCAATTTTTACAAAAGATGGACATTATTTCCTCTCAGAATGTCATACTAGACCTCTAAACATTTAATAACACCAAAAATGCTGGATTTTTCAAGGGGCTAGCAGTGGCTGGTGGCTGAATCAGAGGCAGTGACAGGAAGCTGAATCTACAAAAGGGGGTGAGGGCCACTGTGCTCAACTTTGCAAGTCCTGGTTGCATCATCTAATTGGTTGCACACCTGATCTAGCTTTTCTTAGAGATTCCCATTTATCTGGGGATTCTGCTGGCAACTTGATCAGCTACGCCACCATGATTTGGAAAAGTCTGCTAAATACCAGACATATCCATGGGTTACGTACTCCTCGATGCACGCGCACTAAGTCTGGCACTTCTAGAAAATTTTGGGCTTTCTGGCCACACCATGCCCTTTCAGAGTGCACATATGCCACTGGTCTGGTGCTGTCAGGCAAACTGCACAAATGAATTAAGGATAGCAGACTAAAACAATTAATGCATGCAATGTGGGGCTCACTCCTGCTCACTACATCGCCCATTGTTAGTGTCCAGGGTATGCCAGACAGAAATCTAGAAGTGCTGTATAAAGATCAGAGCATTAAGCAGTGCAGGATTTAAAACCAGGTTTCCTCACTGCTATGTAGTAAGCCCAACCACAGTGTGAGACAGTCACCTCTCTCTCTCCGGCTGCCCTCTGTGACTTTATTATTCCACAAAACACAAAGCAGCTTCAGCAAAAGAGGATGAGGGCAGGCCCTTCCAGGCTGGCCCTTGGAGGGATGGTGAGGGCAGGATGAAGGATCAGAGGCGGTGTGGGCTGAATCCTCTCAGGCAGGCTACTGTTGTGCTCACTAATAGCTTAAAGCTGAACTTTTTTTTTTTTTTTTTTTTTTTTTTTTTTTTGGTTCCTCATGAGGCTGTTTCTGTGCAGAGCTGGATCTGATGGGGATGTTCTGGCACCATTTGGCCAGCCATATGGACCAGGGATACCTCTACTGAATAGTGAGGTGAATGCATCTGTGATAATAGCAGCATCCAGCACATCGGTGGCAGTGGGTGTGTCTGTGATGGCACCGTGACTTGAAGATAACTATGTTGTGCCCTCTTGTGCAAATATGAGATACATTTTGTATGTAAGAAACAGTGAGAAACAAGTAACGTTTCTTTTTTTAAAGAAGCCTACACCAACAGAATGAGCACATGATAAGAACAGTCAATTTACTTGACCCCCATAGTAAAATTCTTAAGTATTTATAAAATTAATGTCAAAATAAATAATCCATATTCTCAAAAAAGAAAAAAAAAAGGTGAATTAGTGGAAAAAAGTTTAAATGGAAATACCAGGATTATGAAGGATTTAAAATTCTAAAGCACCTCACAGCCCATCCTTGGTTTCTGACATGACTGCAGTGTGCAGTGCAGCTAGGGGGATCGGACAGGTTATAATCTTTCCCCTATATTTAGAAGCGTCCTGAAACCTGCATCCTTTGTATTCACCACATGATTAACAGCTAAAGGAAAAACTTTCTATTGGTTGATTAATAAGATTTAGAAGAAACTGTGGTGTTTACCTGCAAAGAAATAATATTTCTCTACTTCCTACACATAAGAACATTTGCATGCAGTGTTATGTAAAGGTTTCAGTGCAACTTCTAGTTCAGCTGAACATATGAATAAAAAAAAATATAGGAAAGACAAAAATATATCCTGAGGTAGCTCTTCACTAGAACTACGGTCAATGGGGGAACAGGTGGCTCTCGATCAGTGACTTACATTCCCTGACCTGAACTTTACTATATGAACTAGTTTACTTACTGATACTATTACCAAAGGATAAAAACTGAATGTGTTGGAGACTAACTGTCCTTCCTCTGTCCAGATCAGAACTAAGATACAGTGGTAGAGCACGGAATGGATAAACAAGAAGTGAAAGCAGAGTCCAAAGGCCACCCTTGGAAAACCATATCTATACACAGCATTCATCAGGGGAGCATTTGGATGCAGACCTACCATACCACCTCATTCCTGAGAGGAGAGCTCTCTCAGACCTCCAAAAAAGAAAAATGTTTGGCATGGGGAAGGAATGGTGTTTGTTCTATACAGAAGAGAACAGGGGCACACATATCTGTCTCATCCAACAGGTATGCTGTAAGATGGTCCTTTTAGCTGGAGATGCATCTTTTGTAACAGAGATTTTTCACAGACTAGGCTGTTCTGAAGGAGAAGTAGTATCTCTCTGTCTTCTCCCCACTGCCTCTAACTGGGAATGGTGAACCTTAATTTTGAAAAGTATTACCCAAGGGCACAGAAGGAGGCCTGAGTCAGAGGAGAGGAAAATAATTATGTGGATTAAGTGAGGCGAGCTCATGAAATTTCTTCATAAAGTGAAATGACAGGCTAGCTTGGAAAAATAGTTTCCCTAAGCATACTTGACAGCAGAAGCTGGCTGATCTAACAGGAGCAAACGTGTAGTGAAACAGACAATAACAGAAAGCCAAGTAAGGCTGTTCTCTGGACTCAGCAAAACAAACCAAGTCAGGGAAAACACATGGGCCATGTTTAGGAAAGAGCCATGTTCACATGTACAACAGCCCAGATTGTCATCACAGCTACTTGCCGAGGAGCTTAAGTGCAGTGAGTGGAACAAGAGACACAGACTTCAGAGAGCTGTGACAGAAAGCAAGGGCTTTACCTTCCTGGCACCAAGTTCCTCACTCCTTGTGTTCCACATGTGAGGCCATTCTGGTTGGACTGCAAATGTAACACATTTCATAAATACCAAAACCCAATCAATCAAAACCCTACCATCATTGAACGTTGAGCATCTTTAGAATAACCTTTGTGCTGGCTGCCCACACACATTTTATGCACAGAAACTTCCCACTATTTCTGCAGAATATTCTTCCTATAAACAGCCACTCTACTTCCAGAAGTTACTTTTTCATTACTGGCTTCATTTTGTCACACTTAATAATCAAGAAGATGGATGTGTCAGGTTTTAAACATGGTTTTGGGACCCCCGACACAGAACAAAGTCTTGATGGAAACAGGAATCCTACATGATTTTCTCTCAACCAGCCGCAATGAGCTCAACCACTCAAACAGTCAGAGCCAATTCAATTTATTGATTCAGAGTACAAGTTCCAGGTTATCATGAACTTTTAGTTAGCTTTAATACAGTATCAGTTCCTATTTGAATTGATAAATATAACTTTTACAGACTACAGAGGATTACTGACAGAAGGCTCCCATGAAAATCAAAACATACGGACACAGGACACCTTGCCATGCAGATTCTTGAGTGTGCTATTTTTTACAGCCCAAAAAAGGAATTACAGCATAGACTGGGCTCTGGAAGAGCTTGGACTAGGAAGGCAGAAGGGTCATTTAATGTTACCTATTTCATCCCGATGGGTTGTAATGTTAAATTATGGCACAGATCTTGGTTCAGGATTTCACACTGGATGGCTAGCCCTGTCTTACATAGGAAGCCTGCAGCAAAGATTGAACTGAACATGGAGATCCATATTTCACCTTTCTTAATCATAGCTGCAACCTTCATTGAAACAGGTAAAAATGGGAATCTTTAATTCTAAGGATGGGTGTGTATTATCAGTTTGCAGGTATGTCTTTGTTTATCTGATGACTTCAAAGGTTTCCATAAACAAAAAAATTAATGAAATGTCCTCTAAGGTTCTCCTCAACAGACCTTAGATTGCAATTGTAGGTGTTGTCATTAGAGAAATAGTGGGACTTTGCTGAGGAAATAATTAGCTTCATTTTGACAAACACTTTTCAGCCAAATGGCTATAGACATACATTTTAAACCAGAAAATAATGATTTTTTTAAATCAAGCTACAACTTCTATGTTAATCAGAGTTTCCATGGGAAGTTTTCCTCTCTGGGTAAACTGAACCTTTGTATTGAAAAGGAGGGGACAAGAGATGTAAAAGTTCTTTCTTCTATGTTGCACAATAGTTCAACTTCCTCTTAAAAAAAAATACAAAACCAAAAAAACCACCAACCCACAAACAAGACAAGAGGATTATTTCTCTCTCTCTCTTTTGTTTCATCATGATCTTTCTTACTCCTTGCTGTAGGCTATACTGTCATGTGCAGATTTTTGATTCCCTCATGTAATAAACACAGTAAGTATAATCTTTTTCACAAATGCTACTGAAAGCTTGTGCCTGTCTATCCATGGGATATATTTATAATCTGTCTACCCAAGTGTGTTTCAGAATTAACAATAATAATATTTTCCAAGTTCTCCAATAAAAACCTGCCTCCAAGTTCAGGGATGACTGTGCCATAAAGTTAAGTCACTCATCTTACCACAGCCAACAAACCAACCAAGAACTTAGGGGTAAGATTACAGAGTTACCACTGATTTAATACAGGAAGTTGTATGCTAAAATGTATGGGTATAGCCAAGTGCTGTGTGGAGGCTTTGCTCTACAGGCCTTGTCATGTAGGAGTCAACATTGCTTTAAGTCAAACATTAAAGTGCCAACAACCAGCTAGACTTCAAGGGAGCTGAAGATGAGCACAGCCTACACTTTAGCTTTCCAACATGAGTGGGAGCTATGACATGAAGTAAAAACCCCAAACTAGTAGGAGCTATTGTGAATAGAGAGAAAAAAAGTCATTGAAAATTGGTCAAACACTGCTCAAATGCATAGAGTTATGGGTGTAACAGAAGACAACACCATCCTTTTGGAAGGTCAGTCAGTATTTCTTTTCACTCTTTTGAGCCTATATGGTTATCTATACACAGCATATACACAGAAATAGATGCACCTGTTTTGTCTAAGTGTAATCCAGTCTTACCTGGCAAGTCCATATTGATGTGATAATGAATCCATCATCTCTGAAGACATTAAAGATTTCAATGATCCCCCGTGAATAACCAAATACGGAGATACTAGCATCTGATACCGCCAAGTTAAATGTGAGGTAGTCAGTGGGCTGCAGAAGATGTCTTTGTTTATACAGGACAAAAATCACAATGCTGTTTCCAAACCAAGAGAGCCAACCTGGAAAAAGAAGAAATAAATCCATGAAAATAGAAAACAAATAAAGCAAGAAGCAGTACAGTGTGTAAATGTGCAACATCTCTTCTAAAAAAATGCTTTTATTCCATGACAAACAAATTAAACCAGATTAACCACGGGAAAATCTATGAATGAAGCCCTTTAAAGTATCTGGGTACATTTTAGAAGCAGAAACAAACACTCCGTCAATGAAACAGAACAAACATGAAGAGCTGCTGCTGCTACTGCATCTGTTAAAGATTCACCATTTAAGAGCCTAGAGAAGTATTTTTTTCCTAAGTGGACAGATGAAACCCATGAAACATAACACCCAGGAAGAAAAAGAAGGAGGAAAAATTGCTAGAGTGGAGTTGAGACTATGAACAATCTGCCAAAAGCTGCAGCTGTTTAGGTATGTTGTAAGTAATACTGGATACTGGAAGCTCATGCACATACCCAGAGAGCTGCTTTATCAGTCCTCTCTCAAGAAGTGCAGCTAATATGATTAAGTGTCTTCTCTTAAAACAGTATAGGATCTACTTGCAGCAAAGCCTGTTCCAGACAGGAATATTTTTCGGTAACACACCTGATAATTTATATGAAGAGAACATTCAGAACAAACATTTCATAAGCTTTAAAGTCTTTTAAAATCTATTTTTAAAGAAAGTTGTATCACAGAGAATCACAGAATCATCTAGGTTGGAAAAGACCTTGAAGATCATCCAGTCCAACCATTAACCTAACACTGACAGTTCCCACCTACACCATATCCCTCAGTGCTATGTCGACCCGACTCTTAAACACCTCCAGGGATGGGGACTCCACCACCTCCCTGGGCAGCCCATTCCAACGTCCAACAACCCCTTCTGGAAAGAAATGCTTCCTAATACCCAGTCTAAACCTTCCCTGGCGCAACTTGAGGCCATTCCCTCTTGTCCTATCGCTTGTTACTTGGTTAAAGAGACTCATCCCCAGCTCTCTGCAACCTCCTTTGAGGCAGCTGTAGAGGGCAATGAGGTCTCCCCTCAGCCTCCTCTTCTCCAGACTAAACACCCCCAGTTCCCTCAGCCGCTCCCCGTACGACCTGTGCTCCAGACCCTGCACCAGCTTCGTTGCCCTTCTCTGGACACGCTCGAGTCATTCAATGTCCTTTTTGTAGTGAGGGGCCCAAAACTGAACACAGGAATCGAGGGGTGGCCTCACCAGTGCCCAGTACAGGGGTCAGATCCCTTCCCTGTCCCTGCTGGCCACGCTATTGCTGACACAAGCCAGGATGCCATTGGCCTTCTTGGCCCCCTGGGCACACTGCTGGCTCCTGTTCAGCCGGCTGTCAATCAGCACCCCCAGGTCCCTCTCTGACTGGCAGCTCTCCAGCCACTCCTCCCCAAGCCTGTAGCGCTGCTGGGGGTTGTTGTGGCCCAAGGGCAGCCCCCGGCATTTGGCTTTATGGAAACTCCTCCAGTTGGCCTCAGCCCATGGCTCCAGCCTGTCCAGGTCTCTCTGCAGAGCCTCCCTACCCTCGAGCAGATCAACACTCCCACCCAACTTGGTGTCATCTGCAAACTGACTGAGGGTGCACTCGATCCCCTCGTCTAGATCATCAATAAAGATGTTAAACAGGAGTGGCCCCAAAACCAAGACCTGGGGGACACCACTCGCTACTGGCCACCAACCGTCCTCTCTTACTGTCCAGGAACAGAGATGTCTGACTTGTACATGTCTAGTTAATATGAGGAAAACACAAGGGAGATGACTGTAAATCTGGTAAAAGTCAGCCTCTTAGATGGAGAGACCTAGAGTTTCCAAATATGCATGGCTATTGCCCCACACATCAGTGCAAGGCCTTGGTAGTTTGCATCCCACTTTTTAGAATGATGTAGACATGTGGAAACAACTTTTAACAGAACGTTTACTCATAAGTGTCAGTCTCTGTTGAAAATGGGGCTTGGCTTCAGGGCAGCTGCTGGAGTGGAGCTGAGCAGCTGGTCGGGCAGGACCGGGCTCCCTGCTGGCTCCTTTTTCTGACCCCCAAACCAGCTCTGCCACAGCTGACATAGGTCGCCTCATTTCACCTTGGAAATGTGGAGCAAAACATCACTTCTTTTGAGTGTCTGCAGTCTGGGACAGGTTTAGGAACCCAGCAGCTGGAGGTTTTGTTCCCCAGGGTTGATGCTAGGATACAACAGTAACTACCAGGTGAAGGAGAAAAGAGTTGATGCACAGACCTTTATTCAGGCACAAGCAGTAGATATCCCAGAGTAAGGGTGCTGTATATTGACACAGCAAGAGGTGAATATATATACTGAAGAGGGATGTGACACAATGGCATTGCACAGCATCTCTGGATATTCAAAGGAGCTCATGAGATGAAAGGTGGCTTATGGTTTAATGTTGTAGCAAGAGGCCAGCTGCTTTCCTTCAGGAAGCATCAACAACCCCATATGTCAGAAACCCAGCACTTTATCAGCACGGGCTGATATGGCTAGGGAGGGAGAGGAGGAAATTACCTCCAAATCTCCAGGCCATCTGCGAGTATCACAAGCCGAAATGCCAAAGAGCAAGGTGCTTGTTCTCCAAACAGAGGTTGGGTACTTGCCACCTGGTGCAGTACGTGGGATATTCTGGAGTGGGAGGGGAGGTGGTTGATGGGTCAGTCTCTGTGTGGTGCTATGAACTGCTTTGTCTGCAGAACAATTTCCTTTTGATAACTTCTCTTTGCAAAATTGCCAAGCTGCTGCTGCTCTGGCTTGCTTAGCAAATGCACATGGCTTACTAAAGAGCTTTTGAAGTGGGAAGAGCTGACATATCGGCATATGGTATTAACTAGAAATAGTCACTGTTGCAACGATACACTGAGATACAGACATAAATTGTATATATGTCTCGTTGTAAGGATAAAATCAACAATAACAAATACATTTTATTCTGTCCACTAGGTGACAATGTTTCTTAATCTAGTCTCATTTCCAACGGCTGTATGTGCTTTAAGTCAGGATTTGTTTCTGACTTTTCTCTGAATCTAGGTATTATAAATAGGCCCAACAGGGCACTGGAGGAGGACGGCTTTGGGATTTCATCAGGATAGTCTTCAATGCAAACATGGTAATTAGTTGTTGTTTGTGCATGTCAGCCCTACCTTCTGTAAAGTAGCAGTTTTCAAGACAGTGGGCACAGAAATATTTTCCCTCTAAATATGAAGACATAGTGCTAAAATGGCAGACAAAATAAAATGGCACCTCCTTTGTAAATAGCAAAATTTTGTCATGGCAGTGTAATAGAGAGGAGGGCTACCCTTAAAGTGTCAGACATGTGCGCTTCCTGGGGTTATACAGAGAAAATTCCCCTTAGCCCAGAGGGTAAGGGAGTTTTCAGTTAAAGCATCTTACAGAAGCAGCTGAACAAAATATTCTGTAAAACAACAACACACATTTTAGATGGAGATGACAGAGACACAGTATTTGCGATCATTTTTTGGAATATTTACACACTGAGAGTGGGGATGAGGGAAGCATTGAGGGTTATAAAGTTACAGAGTGTGTAACTTCCGCAGGTAGGCACCATACTTCTAACTAAAGCAGGTGGAGAACCTGCACTGGCATTTCCAGTCCCTAAAATATCTGATCTGTCTGGGGAGTGGACCATATTAATACTGTGATAATAAAAAATATTGAGGAACTAAATTCTCAGTATACCATGGAGTAACAAAACCAGTGGTCACATAAAAGCGCTATCAACTAGAACAGTGACCATGAAACACTACATCTCTGCACCATCAGATAGATGTGTTAGTCTGGAATTGCTGGCTATACTGACCAGCTGATTTTTTATTCCCCCCCCAACCCAAAAAAACAACCAACTCCAACTAGAAGAATACCTCAAACCAACCAACTTCCCTCGCCCAAAACCTTGACAGCACAAGTAATGCAGTGAAAATGCAGTGCAGAGGAAGCACAGCAATAGCTCTGATGCTATCAGTGAGGGCAGGGTTCTCAACAGCTTTGCAGGCAGTATATGCCTCAGGGTAGATCACAAGAAGATCAAGAGCCCCCAAACAAACCTCTGAACTTCCATGTGCTATAAGACCTGAGTGTCACCAGGTGGCATCTCAATAAAACAGAGGATAGAAAAGAAACAACCGAGGGAACAAATTTAATTTTTTTGCAAGCTGCCAACATTATTCACTCACAAGAATGTACAAAACCCCCCTAACCACCAAAACCCCAAACCCCAAATCCAACTCCAGCATCCTAAGGTAATCCTACTGAGAAAGGACAGGTTCCAACTGAGCTCAGAATGTGACTGAGAGAGAAAAAACAGCAGATGGGAAGAAACTGAACACTTTCACCCATCAAAGGTCCAGAGAGGAACCACCATATTTCCCCCATAAGCTATAGTGCTGTCTGATATGGGTTGCTCATCAACGAGAGATGCTACCCTTTCTGGAGTGGCAAAATACACAGACAACATACAGTTACTGACATTTGTTAACACAGGGCAGGACTGAAAGCAGATGCTCTGAGTCTGGCAGTGTCAGAGTAGAATAGGTTAAGAGTGTTGATAAATGCTAAATACTGAACAGCTAAGGAGTCACCTTTACTCCTCAGACACCCACAGAGAAGTACTTGGTACCACATTTATAAACATTGGGAGGTAGGAGGAATAGGATGAAGAGCAATATTAAAAATGTTGTATTGCCCTTATATAATTCAGTAGTAATCCCCTGGAACAATACGCCCTAATAGAGCATTTTAATCCACAGAAGTGCTCGACAAAGGAGGCTGGTGCTGTTATCCATGATTTCTGGGGGAGGCACAGGAAGGCTGCCAAGCAAGCTGGTGGTAGTTAGGAACCAAAACCCTATTGACAAAGTCCTGTATCAGCACGTGTCTGCCACCCTCTGCAAATAAAACACTGAAAAAGTAGCCAGCAAGAGTGATTAAGGATACTGAAATATCTTTCTGCTGAAAGTGACTGAGAATAGTGAGATTGTTTAACTCTGGGAA